TTTAGCTTACATCCCTTCCCAACCATATCCCAGGTGATAAAACATGACACCCAGGTAAGCAGTGACCTTGCGGACTCTGAACAAAGTTCTCAACGTGTCCACAGTACATTCTCATTTTGTCTGGCTCTAAACTACTGGCTCAAGAAAGCTGCAAATATTTGAACATAACAATAAAGTGTTAACAGTGATTCTGATTAAAATCACGGCAGTCCTTCTGATAGGTAGAAAGGCAGTAAATTTTTCGCTCAGATAAAATGTAGGAAGGAAACTCACAAGCAGAAAAAAAAATTTGTTCAAATTATCCCTATCAATCTTAACTAAAGAATGGTCACTACATTTGTTTTGTTTCATATTATTAATAGGCCAAATCCCATGTGCCAAAATAATGCTTGCTGCATTTCTCCGGACAAGCCTTGAGAGCAAGTATGTTCAAGGCTTCCCAGAAGAGCGATTTTGGTGCAACAAATAATACCTATAAAAAACAGCCCTTACAACAGCACACATACCACATCACAGCACAGTGACACGCTAACATCTGCTTTCCAAATAGCCATGAGGATAGCAACACCACATTTCCAGGCCCTTCTCTGAGAAGAAATGACTTTCCCAACGTGCTGGCTTTAAAACTAGAGTCCTTGCTTTGACTTGCCAGTGGGTAAGGGGAATCATCTAACAGTTCTAATGACTTCACCAGGCTCTGCGGGCAGTTCACAGAACTAAAGGGAAGTGGGGGCTTTGGTTCATTCACTATCAGCCATCAAGTTATGGTATTTCCCATCTTTTCAATATCCTTAAAATGGCAAGGTCTGTGTTTATGGTTTTGACCTTGGAACTGAGGCAACAGCTAGCTCTACCTATTCTCCCAAAGTTCCAATTATACTTGGGGGAACTTTGACTTCTGATCAGACAGCTGGAGTAGGGAGTAGGGGGAGGGTTGGAAAATTCTACCTCCGTGAGAAGACTCTTGGTCAACTAGAGGGAGTGAGGGCTATCCCACAAGACCCCTCCTTTCCTCAGAGGATGCTCAGGCCCTCTTCTCAGCCAGCCAGCAGCTAAGCTGGTAGGGCTGAGAACGACATTCCTTTGAAACATCTTGGCAATTTGTGCCTGGAAGTTGATGCATTAGTTCTAAAATTAAATAAAGATCCTGTAGTGCTCTTCAAGGAAATATGGTGTGCCTCTATGACAAAACACATTTTTCAAGCTCTGACCTCTGGGAACTTCAACTAGCTCCATATTTCAGGCTGACAATGCTCACAGGCTACTGTCTAGTTGCCCAAGCCAAGGCTGGTTAGCCATATATTTTCCACATCCAACAGCTTTTAGCATAGGGAGGCGAAGGGAGTAAATAAAAAGAGGAGAACCACTAATTTAAAGGCATTTCCCCTCCCAAGACCCTTGGGGAAAAGCCCTGGTAATTAACTCTAATGAGATTAAAGTAACTTGGAACTCTTCATTTTCCCAGCACTGTAAAAGTAAATCTGCGATAACCGGCGTGTGGGTATTAAATCAAAGTCAATCCTTTTTCCTGTTACTTAATGGTCCCCTCACTCCCACCCCACAGCCCAGGCTTAAGAGCGAGGGGGAGGGCTGCCAGGCTCCTACCGGCACTTTGCTCCATCACTTCTTTCTGACACATGTCTTGAACGTTCACCGTGCAGTTGACGATGAACTCCGGGGAGGAGCAGTCGTTGTTCAGCTGGAATTCTTCACACTGGTAGCACTGGATTTGCAGCGCAAGGCCTACGAGACAGACGCAGTCGGGTTCAGATCCGGCCCCCACAGAGCCCACCCCGGAAACCGCGACCATCTCAAGTCCCAGAGCAGAGCGCAGCAGCTCCTGGCCTCTGGGAGGCTTGGGGCTCTGCACTCCTGGGTCTCCGGGAAGGGCCTGAAGTGGCTGAAGCCGGCAGGGAGCGGCGCAGGTACCTAGGGTCCTAAAGGAGAAAGTGGAATCGTGCCCACGACCCCTGGACCCCGGCTCTAAACACAAAAAGCCCATCCAACAGCACCCCAGGCCTTTCCCCAAGAAGTTGAAGGGAGGGTGGGGGGACGGTACCACCCGAAGAGCGAAGTAGCTCTGGAGACATGAGTTAGCTCCAGCCTAAGCCAAAGGATTTGCCTAATTGCTAATTGGTTACAAATTACTTAATTACTATTTTGGCACCATTCATGATTACATTCGCAGACGTCGTTTCGGTTTTTATTTACTTAATTTTTAAAATCAGCGTTTCTGCTACCAGGGCTCTGAGGATCCCTGAGCGACCACCTGGGAACAAGAGTGGAGGCGCCAGACGCCAAGTGCTGCTGCGCCGCAAGTCCCCGAGCACGGGTCGGCGGCTCTTCTCCAGAGCCGTCCCCGCGGCGACCCGGGTGGCCACAGAGGGTGGGAGAGGACGTTTGTGCGCGCCTGCACCCTGGATCCCGACCTCGCAGCCCCTTCTTCCAGGCCCTAGCTTTCAGGGCAACCGTTCGGCTAGGGCGGGTGGTCGGGGTCCCAGCTCTGCAGAGCTTAGTTCGGGAGCCAGTAGGCGAACTGGTGAGAGGACGCGAGACATTTGCGCCCTGGTCGCTTCCGCTGGCTGTTCTCGCTGTAAGCGCTCCATTCTAGACCCAACTGCCCGAGCTCCCCCAGCCCCATGTCTATCGCACTTTGAGCGCAGCAACTCAGCTTCGGCGCGGCTGCAAGCTGCCTAGCGCGCTGCTCACCTGTCGGCGGCGCCACTCCCACGGGGTGCCGGAGGCCCCAGACAACTTGGCGGGGTTCGGGAGATGTCGCCCCCTCTCCCTAACCGAGACCCCAGAACTGCTCGGACCCTCCCCCCTCCCAAACCCACAGCTTCTCCCGAACGTGCAGCCCCAGCAGCCGCAGCCCGGAGTCCCGCAAACCCGCCGCTCCCCGCTCTCCTGCAGCGCGGGACTTAGACACTTCCCCAATCTCGCGCCCCGAGGCACCAATCGCCACCGCCCAACTCCCGCTAGGCAGCCCCAGGGCAGGGCCAGCCCGGAGGTGGGCGCCCTGGGGGCAAAAGAGCGGGCGGGTAGATGGATTGTGCGCACCTGGCCCTGGCTGCTGGCCTCTGGATATTCTTACCTGGAAGCAAGAACAATCCGCAAAAAGTTGCCGCGATGCCTAGGACCCACATTCTCCCGGAGTCCCGGGGCCGGGAGCGGGCAGGTGCATCAGAGAAGGCGACCGCAGCGGAGGCTGCCCCGGCCACAGCGGCTGTGGCTGCCGAGGCTGCTGGGGCTCGCGCTGCTGCCGCCGAGCCGACGGTCTTTGCTGAGAGGAGCCGCAGGTGCCGCTCGCGGCTCCTGCATCGCCCGCGCTCGGGCTCCCGGCTGCGGGTCTCCGCTCCTCCCGCTCGTGCTCCCAGGCCGAGCGCCGCGCCTCCGGAGTTGGTGGCTGAGACTGAAGGAACTACTGGCGATCCGGAGCACCCACAAAAGTCTCGCCTTTTCTCCCCACCTCCCACTCCAGGCACCACGTGACGGCTGCCGAGTTGGCGTGGGGGTGGCGGCCGGCGGGCGGGGAAGGCTGGGACCATCCCCACCCCCTTCCTGCCTTCCTCCTCTCCCGCCTCCGCACGTTCCAGGGAAAGGGGCGCCGGCGGGTGGGGGAGGACTGGCAGTTTTCAGAGGTGGGGAGGCTGGAGGTTGGGGGAACGGCAAGGAAGGCGCAGCAGGTGCCGTGGGGAGCTGCCGGGTGCGAACTGGGATCCGGGGACGGCGCGGCCAGCTGGCCCTTCGCGTATAGGAACGCACCCTCCCGGCTCCGCGTCTTCTGCGCCTTCCAGGACTGGCCGGTACCCTAGCGACTGGGTCCGGCCCACACAACTGAAGGTGTCCGGCTGCGGGCCGCTGGAGCCTGGTGCCCCGGGAGGCTGTCAGACAGGAGGGGCGTGCGTTCCTGTGCGCCTGGCAAAGTTCCACACCCGCAGGCTCCCTACGGCGTCCTGTGCAACCGCACCTCCTCTTCCTCCGAGAAAGCTTTCCGTCAAAACCCAGCTCGGCTTGGCCGGTCTGGGTGGGGGTGTGGTAGGGACACTGCCTTGACTGTCGCGCTTGCCCTGGGCCGTCCTCCCGCTTCTCCCGCCTGCGCGCACCGCTGGAGGGTGCATTGACACCGCCCTGGTCGCCTAGCCTAGGAGAACGCCGTCCCAGGGACACCTGCCGCGAGATCCCACCAGAAAGCAAATAAGGGTGGAAAAGAGGGTTGCTCTCCTCCATTCCTGGTCTCTAAAACGCCGGCCAGCTCCATCCTACGCTTCCCAAAGCCACTGATTATTAGTATAAATTCCCACGTCCTCTCCTGAAAGGCCATCCCAGCCTCGGACTCGGCCTCGAGCTGCTCCCCACACCCCTCAAATTCCTCCTCTTTCTGCAAAGTCCAAGAGACCCACCTGGCGTACTTACCGGGATGCCCCAGTTCTGTTTTCGCCTTCCTTGCCGAGCCTTGCAGCAGGTGGTGCGGGAGACCGATTGTCCGCCGGAACGCGTTGGTGCCCCCGCCCCCAATCCGCACATGCCCATCCCCCTTCCCCACATCCTTAGGGAGCATCCATTTCAGTGGAAATCGCCTCCTAAGCTTTGCCCCTCTTCACTCTTTTCTCCCGCGGCCACCTCTGGGGGCAGCTCTCTCAGGCCAGGACGCTGATCATTAATTTCTGCATCCTGCCAGCAGAGCTGGTCTGGAGGGGGCTTAAATGACTTTCTTTGTAATTCCTCTGCAGAGATCGTTCCATATCCGCCTCAGGCTCTTTCTCTCCCCTCTTCATTTCTATTTGGTGAACCCCTTGGGAAGACTGAAATGCTTTGACCATTACTCACCTGTCTGCTGACTCTGATCTTAGAATTGGCTAAATTACCATCTGTAGAGCAAAAGGGCCAGTTTATTTATTCCTTCGGGGAATCCATCCTAGGAGCACCTGTGAGTCAGGAGTCAAGTAACTGACTGGGCCAAAAGGTCCTTGAGCAAGTTCTTTTCAGTATTCAGAGGGTGCAATTGTGATAGAACTTTTATTCAGAAAGGAAACAAAAGGATTTTTAAAGTCTGAAAGACAAGGATATTTTACATACTTTTCATTTAAGATAAAATATAACAAATTGCACAAATTAACCAAATAACACTGATCATACAATACTTTTTAAAGAAACAATTATGTGCTAAAGTAGCCATATAGCTCCTAAAAATATTTCTATTGTGCCTAGTTTACAAGCTCCTGTACATAAGCAATTATAAATAGTTCACATCTAGAAAAAATACACATAACCTTTAAAATAGAATTTATCCTTACATATAAACAGTCTTCGTAGAAAAAAGGATATTAAAAAGAATTCTTCGTAGCACCAATAATTTTATTTTTAAAAAGTGAGCATTGCAAATAGAAATTTGCTTTCATTTTTTAAGAGTGCCCAGATTTTAATAAAAAGAGCAAAAAGATAAACATCAAATAATATTCAAGATCATAGAGAAGCACTAAGTAGAAGACAATCTAAATAAATGTCTGGAAAAAAATTGGTATTGGAAATAGAATTCGGTCATTTCTGATACAATGCCACACTCCCAGTGTCCACACTTCAGGACCCTTTTCATTTTCAGCAGAAGCAGAATTACACCTGTTACTATCACCTGAATCTCTGGCAACGAATCTGAAATTGCACTAAAAATGAATATTTCTATCAAATTGATATGAAATGGAGATGAAGAGGAACCCTCTGTTTTTTTTGGCAGGCCCTGTTGTAGGTTTGCAGAGTGTACCCACAAAATTTTGAGGACTAGGACAATGAACTTCACAAAAACTTAAGTTGGGATTTTAAAAAATATATATTATCATCAACTTCTAAGATTTAGCATATTATTTCAAGAGCATGGCACTGATTCCATTTATTGCTGTCTTTTTTGCTACAAATATAATTTCTCTTCCAAAATATTTACAACTTCTGTACAAATATTCAAAAAAAGTGCAAAATTAAGGATTCTGTATCATAGGTGTGTTTATGCTTAATCCTCTTGAAACACAGTAAATGGAGTCTATCTTTATTGCCCTGTCAGAGCATAAGCTCTGGTGGGTTGCCTGCTGTGAATCTGACAATGAAGGCTCTGGTACTGCAATAGTATACTGTTGTCATCTCTACAGAGTGGCTCACCCCCCACCCGCCCCCGTCATTTCTTAAGCTCTCCAGTCCTAGCTCACTAAGGGAAGAAAAGTCCTTTATACATCATTTGAACCTTGACTGGCACAGGAAGAGAAGCTATCATATAAAGAATCACTCAAAGACTCCAAGTTGTCTACCCCAGGCCTATCTGAACTACTCAAAGATGTCTCTTCATTTTTTTCTTTTTCTTCCTTTCGTCCTTCAACCTTGTTCAGAGAGTTCTTTTCTTTTTCTAATAAAATCACAGTATTGCTGTTAAATTTATTGAATGACTCCAGGGAAATTTTCGATAATCTATTCTCAGGATCGTCTTTTGTTTCTTCAAGTTGTTTCAATTTCTGCAATAAAAAGAAGAAAATATTAGAAACATATTTCTTTGGAAAATCAAGTTATCCTATCCAATATTCAATTATTGTCTATATAAAGTACAGTTTAAAGGGATAGAGAAAACCTACAAGTCTTTAACAATCTTCTAGTATAATTAAATGTAATAATAAAGCAAATTTTAGGGATAAATCAGGACTTTAATCATTTTACTGAGATAAACAGGTCCCAATTTGCAAACCAGTTAAGTGCCACTTAATTTCATTTTAAATGGATCCATTTGAAATTTGTTCAGGTAAAGTGCCATATTTTTCTCCATCAAAGTTTCAAACTCCTCTCTTTGCTTGCTAAGTATTAGTTGCACTTTTTCTAAATAAGAGTAGGGACTGAATTTCAGTCAGAAGTTATGGTAATACATATATATATATATATATTTTAAAAAGACATAAAAATCTCTTAACTTGCCATTTTTGAATACATGTTAAGCTTATTAGAAGCGTTGCCATTTTTGTATTTTGTCCCTTTATGGGACTTAAGACATTTGGAAGAGATCTCCAGGTTTTTGGGTATAGATTCCAGAAGGCCCAGGGGCTTAAAAATCAAAGTGACAGGTGTACAGCTGAGTAACCACTCTGCTCAAGAAGGTCTAGTAATACCAGTTTATACAGGGATATTACTGTTATTAACACCCTGTAAGACGTTATAAAACACTGCAACCAAATTCAACAATTATCATAGGTAAACCCTGTAAATGTGAATATATTCTGTTGCTCAGTTGGTTCCTAAGGGCTAAGGAGGGAGGCGCAGATGCCAAAAACAATGAGAAGAACAGAGGTGTAAAAGTGTCTACAATGTTTCTCATCTTCTTTTCCTCTTTCCAGCAAATATTCCATCCAAACACAAGAAAGAAGCAGGCCCAGGGGCTTAGAGATGATAATAAGTGCTACCATTCATTAAGCATCCGCTAGGCAAAAGACACTTAACAGATGCGAGCAGCTTTTTCACAAACCTGCAAAGTAAACGTCTCCATTTTAAAGACAAGCAATACAAGGCTCAGAGTGACAGAGATATTTGCCCAAGGTTGCCCAGCAAGTGGCAGAGATCAGGATTTGAATTTCTGGCTGGCCGCCTACATGTTCTTGTTCTTTCCACTAAACCATGTTCTTATGTAATGAAGGACAAAATGTCCTGTTTTTCATTTTGTTACCCAAAAATTCCATTTAAACAACTTGCCAAACCTTCTCTAACATGTGCAGTTCCGCTGTGCACCAAGCTCCTACCCCCAACATTGTTAGTCTGGACTTACAGGGTTGCAATGAGGATACTATGTTTTGATTGGGGAAAATAGATACAGCCAAAGCCTATGGATTCTCACATGCTAAATATTTAACAGAGAAGAGAGAGATGGAAGTGGCTTCTGTGTCCCAAGAGCAGACATGGGCAAAATTTCTCTGCTATAGGAAATGGTATAATTCTATGGGAATATTTAAAAGTCATCCTAGATCTAGTGCTTATTTCATTAAACTATTAACGTGCAGAAGCATTACTCACGGAGCTAATTTTCAATCTCAAACAGCTACCCTGAAACCAGAGGCGGGCTAAGGAACAGACTCCTAGCTGATTACAGAAAAGTGGCTCCATAATTAGAAATAACTCCATCCAAGAGCCCCTTTTAATACTGTGCCAATTTGCCTACATTTACCAAATGTAGGTAATTAAAGGGCATTCAGTGCAATTTTCTCTCTTTTTAAGAACCACAAGTATTTTTCTCGACTATTTCTCATCTATGTGGATCTCAAGTTTATTCAACACACACTAAGAACTACTGCAAGGTAGACTGAAGCTTTTGGTACTGAGGATACACAGCTGAATAAAATTGTGCCTGCAGGGGATTGCTGAGGCCCTGGGGGCAGACAGGCCGAGCTTCAATTTCAGCTTGGCCGTTTCATGGGCCGAGCGCTACAAGCATCCTTCTTCAGGTGTAAAATGGTGATAAGACACATCTTTATTTCAGGATTGCAGTAAGTATTAGAAATAAAGAACCTCAAGGCTCTGGCAGACAGTAGTAGGTGCTCAATAAATGTAAGGCTGGGCTCTTATTCTAGAATGGTGGCTCTCAAAGTGTGTTCCCCAGACCAGCAACATCAACATCACCAAGGAACTTGCTAGAAATGCAACTTCTTGGATCCCATCTAGACCTACTACATCAGAAACTGAGGGTCAGCAATCAGTTTTTAACAAGCTTACCAGGTGATTCTAATTACTGATATTGGCGACCCGATGCTCTAGAAGAACATGACCCCTGGAGGGAAGATAAACAGGTGGAAAGTATAATTCATTGTGAAATGGTGGAAATCTGGAAAGAGTTAATTGCCATTAAAACACTCACTGTCATCAGGTTTTTAAATGTTTCAGGCTTGCAGATTTGTTGCTTGAGTTAATTATAACAAAGGCCTACACTGACCAGGGAGGTTATAGAAATGAAAGAAGAGACCATTATTTAAAAAAAAAAAAAAAAAAAAAAAAAAAAAAAAANAAAAAAAAAAAAAAAAAAAAAAAGCAAAAAACATGACCCTCTCAGGCTTCTTTTTATTTTTATAGTTTGGATGAAAGGTGAGTGTAGACATGTTACCTTACTATAAAAACAACATCCATGCAAAAGTGACCATAAGGGCCAGCTGGCATTCAGTCTCCAGGCAGAGCAGCCCTAAGGAGTGGTGAGGGCTGCAGTCAGCTCAGGAGCATGTGCTGATCTAAAAGCAGTAGAAGCTACTTAGATCTAGCTTAGATCTAGCTGTGCAGAAATGTGGGTGCAGATCTTTTGATTTCAGAGGTGAGGACATACATGTAGATCAATATTTGCTTATATTTAAAACTCACTGATTTTTAATTATTGGCTCACATTTGAAGAAAACAATAACAAAATACAACAACAAGAAATGTTGTTTTATCCTTTTTTTTTTTTTAACAGTGTCCTATCTTGCCTCCTCCACTCCCCCATTCCCCTTCCCCCAGCTTTCTTTTTGAAGGCCTAGTCCAACGCTAAATCATCATTATTTTCTTAATGGAAACTTCCCCTAGCACCAGAAGCATCTTGACTCTGGGTTTGGGCTTCTCAAGTGGTTCTGCCAACTAATAAAAGCACTAAAGTGGCTTACTTTTCTGCCTATAGGGGCATACCGAACCTGAACATTGGCTCGTCAGATCTCAGATTTTATCTATTTTTAAAATTCTGTAGTTGAATAACATTTACATTTAACATATAAGGAGGGATTGAGGTGAAACAACAATGTGTTAATGATCTACCTGGCAAATGATAACAAAATAGTGCACATTAGTTTGCAGCAACTATATGTGAAAGTGCCTTGCAAACTAATCATGGTAATAACCGTTACCATTTAACAGTGTGTGTTCTGTGCAGACATTCTGCTAAGCACACTGCATAGATTATCTGTTTCCATCCTCACATATATTCTATGGGGTAGGTGCCATTAGTATCTTCATTTACAGGCAATCAAGGCTTAGGAATATGTTACTTGTTCAAGGTCCTGTAGTAGTATGGGATAGACTTTGGAATAGATATAGGCAATCTGCCTGCAGAGATCAAGTTCTCAACTTTTATCCTGGAAAACTACCTTGTGAATATTAGCCAATATCATCTTTAAGGAAAGCATCTGAAATAGCAATTACAGAACAAAAACAGTAATGATAGACCTAGTGAAGATCAGTGTTTGATGAGAATTATGTAAGTTCCATAAAACATCGCCAGTTCCTTCCTGTGTTGTGCTTCATCAGAATTATGATAAAATTAATATACTACGTTTGTCACCTATAGGTGGCAACAGTTGTACAGATGACTTTTTGGTGGATTTTTTTTTTTTTTTTAACTGCATTTGGGAATAAAAGTAGGGCTAAACAGGCAAGATGAAAATGTATTTTCAAGTTTAAATAAATAGCTTTGCATATCTTAAAATATTTTCCTGCCTTTAATGTAACCACGAATTATTAGTGATAATTCAAGCAAGAAGTATATAGTGACATATTCTCCAGAAATCTCTTGAGAATTAGACCTTTATTAATTTAATTCCTTGCAGTCAAGCAGTCATTCAATCAAACCAATCTACTATATGACCAGCTTTGTTCAAATAGTCTTGTGGTCTTGATTCTCAGAGGAAGTTTTATAGAAGAGGATGCTCTTGGAATGGTTTCGAAGGGCAAATAGGATTGAAATATGCAGTAAGAAGGAGGGAGGCCATTCCAATAAGTGTCCATCTCCTATGCCCTTAATGCATCTGTACAACACTGTGTAGTCTACTTCAGCACCAGGAGTTGCCTAGAGGGTCTCTCCCTTTGGGGATTCTGTAGTAGACAATTAATCACTATAAAAACAGAAACAGAGAGACACCTACCCCAACAGGTTCTAAGAAACCCAACCAGACCCATGAAAGTGTCAGCCAGCATGTGGGTTATAAAAAGCTTGACTTCAAACAGCATTCCCACCTATGATCTCACTTTGCTCTTCCATTAGCCTGGAAGGTGAGGGAGGCCGGAGTCAGCTGTACTTTCCATGTGGTATTTATGGAATCTGTGACTCACACAGAGTCTGATCCAAGTGAAATTAGACCTCAAACTTATTTTCCTGATTTTTCACACAAAAATTCACAGCATTTTTTTTTACAGTTCACAATAGTCATGAAGTAGAGATTTTTGCCTAGAGCAATATCCTGAACACTAGGAAGGATAAAATTGGAGGAGCTATGGACCCTTGCCATAAGGAAGAGGTGGAAAATGTATACGGTGATACAGAAAAACTCAAGTGATAAACTAGCAGAAAATATATGCATGATGGTATCAGCTTCAAAGAGATACATGTTATGTGTGTAGCGCCAGAATCTACTGTCCATGGTGGATGAGAACAAATAGCAAATTCATGAAATAGTGCAATCAATTATTGTTTTATGATAAATGCTACTCTCTCGTTATTTCAAATACCTTCCCATCCTTTGATTACATC